GATTAAGTGATTATGTTCTACTTACTATACACTGTGTGTATTGCTGCAATGTCTACATAAAGTCAACATGCTTGTGTACTTAAAACCAATGGGTTTTAATTACATTTAATGCAACAGTAATTAACATAGAGTACATCCAGTTTGACTCCGAAACAGCAATTAGCCTCAATAGTTTTCAAAACCAACACTGTTTACATGAACTACAATTCACTTTAGCAAAGTTTCACTGGGATATGTATCAGTGTTCCCTACAGAAACACATTCGTTTTCTCCCTCTGAAGATAAAGATTTATGATGGCAGTGGTCACACACTAAATGCTCTGAAAGCATATTGATCAGGCATGTAGAAAGTACAACACTGTGTCAGTATGTGGTGTAGCTGGAGCAGTTGTCCCAATGGACAGGGCAGTCTTAGCGCTTGAAACAACAGCCTCAGGCACAGGACTGTCCTTAATGTTGTGCCAGTGTCTCACTTTCCCCAATCATACAGCTTGGCTGTTTCTCTGCCACAACTGCTGAGCTATTCTCAGAGAGAGCAGAGTGGCTCATACCTCTTTGTTCAACTAGAGGTACAGTAATGCTTTCTCAATCACACTGTGTTTTCTGTTCTTACTGGCCAACTGTCTCCCTCCCAGTCTTTTCTTTAACACCCAAATCCTCTCTGATTTGACTTGACACCCTCTTCAGCAGGGCAGACAGGTGAAATACTAGACAGCATAAGGTACTTAGGTGAATGTTTTTCTCCACTATGGGAGGTAGCAAACAGGAAAAAAGCAGAAGGAATTAGAGACACTAATAATAGCACCCACTGGGTTTCATCATCATTAATCTAGTGTAGATGCTTTTCCCAACTGCTTTTGAAGTAAAGATAAAACAAGTTCTGAAGAATTTAGACCATATTCTACTAGAACTCTCCTTTGAGTATAAAACAAATGGACTTGTTTGGAGCAGCTTGACTCCTGTCTCAGTATGTGACACCACATTTCAATCATTTGCAACAGCAAGCGGGAAAATTAATAACAGTTTATTTTGCTAAAGTAGGCATCTTTGTGTGTCATCTGCTTTAAAGAACAGGAGTACTTTCAACTCTGGATAACTTAGGAAGGCAATGTGAAAAAAAAGACCTACTAGTAGAACGATCATGCATACATTCATCTTCTTCCACATGAGTAGAACAAAATGAAACTATTGTCTAGAAGCTAAATTAATCAGCCTTAAAGACAGCAATCATGTAAAAGTATCTTTATTATCCTACTGTGCAACCATGAATTGTGTGGGGTTGTGCTTCAACAGACAGCCTTCACTCATGGAAGCTGTGTGCTCACTCATTAGCATTACCTTATTTCTGTGCTCATTTGATGCTATACCTGAAAGAACCTGTTCAGCTGAACCTCTGAGGCAGACAGGCTGCTTTACACCATCATTAGTTACTACGATGCTGACAAAAAATAACAAAAATAACCTTGGGATAAAACATTTTCTCAATGCAGAAAGTGATTCCATAGCACCATGTAGCAGATGTGAAACTGAACTGCGTGAAGAAAAAAAAAAAAACACAAGACATGCCAGAACAATTTCCTGTTTGTAAATGTGATGTGAAAGACAGCTTTGTTCCTGGACAACTAATTTCTCCATCTCTTGATATCTTTAAGGGATAGTTGAGTTTCTTTAAAGTGGGGTTATATGAGGTACTTATCTATAGTCAATGTATTTTCTGCACTGTAACAAATAATTCTGTAGGCATTTACATAAAATATATACAATGTAATTCTGTGGTCATTATTTAAGTAAACATTAAATTTTAAAAAAATCCATATATTGGTCCTGTCCCACAGGATATAGCAGGTACAGATTAACACACTGACCACTATGGGTAAAACTCAACTATTTATTATTGACTTGTAGAATTCATTTAAATTTAATGAATAGCTCCTATTTACACATTTTGAAATTTCTACTTTTCATATCAACTTAAATTCGTTCTTTAGTTGTTAATTCCTATTTGTACTCTCTTGAAACTACATATATCAAATGGATACCTTGAAAGAGCCTCATATCATTTTTATTTACTTGCTTGTAATCTGTTGCCTTGAAGTTATTAAGTAAATGTGAAGGTGCTTCTTTTCTTACAGTGTACAGTACGTCACAGTCAGCTTCGAGCACGGAGAAGTCTTACATGTTGAAACACCACAGTCAAACAATAATACAAATAACAATCAATCATTGGAATACTAACTGACCACATCTGCAGTAGTTCACTGCGTAGCTTCTATACTGGTCCTCCTGCCTGCTTCTCCAAACTGGAGGTGTGCCAGCTGTGATCTTCTGGAGGTGATACACTGAATATTGATAAGTACCTCATACGACCCCACTTCAAAGAAACCCAGCTATCCCTTTAAGACTGTCTTTCAGATTTTCACAGCTACACTGAGTTTTTTTTTTATTATTATATCCATGTCGGCTTAGAAGAACAGCAACAACATGTCAACAGCTTTCCCAACGATGACCTGTCCTCTTCACAAATAAATGTATAGAGCTAAAGACCGAAACATCAAATAGATAAAAACCTGATGAGGGCACAGAACATTGACCATGATGCCTGTACAGATCCCAACTCACTTTTTCCACTCACTGAAGCTCTTACTGTGGATTCGCTCCGTGTGCCCATGTGGCAGCTGCAGGGTCTCTGCCTGCTGACACTCAAGCTTGTCAAATGCCAGTGAAAGAGCCTGTCTATTGACAGAGGCTCCCCACTACACACAAACAACTGCAGTTTGTGAGTCTGTGTGTAATTGGGCTCCTCACATAGCATCAAAGTGCACGTACTGGGCAAAGATTCAACATCTTCTTCCTCTCAAAGCATGGGCAGGGACGCATCCAAAACTCAAGAGAGCTATTTCTGGGTTCACTTGAGTGCAGCACTTTACAAATTCATTGTCGTTAGGAAAACTCAGGTCAGACAGTAATTGTTGATTGCAGTGCATGCATATAACTCAATTTTCAATTTTACTAAATTGGATATTGTTGTGAAACATTTTTTGCATTTTTGGTGACTGTGTGAGATGTAAGCTCTAACAGGCCCAACGAGAAAATGAGCTCGGGTAAGATGAATGCAATGCTAGCAGAAGGCATACATCATCTTCAAGGGGAGGAGGAGCAAGCTTAACAAAATGGCAAATCACTTCAGCTTTTCTCATCCACATTACAGTCGACCATTTCATAATGGACTGAGAGGTAAGTCCAGGCCAACTGTTCCCAAGAGAAGTGCTCTCAAGACAGCTAGTCCAGTAATCTGTTATTAAGGCCTAATGATGCCCCATTTATAAGTGTAATTCACATTTCAGAAGGCACTGAAATCTATGCCACCATGTTCCCGTCATTTGAAGATCTTAAGTCACCTTTATGTTAAGTTATTTGAAGCAGGACTTTCAGCTTATATTCTGTTGCTGCACACATACTGTGGATGAGATCGTTTTATAAACGGTAACGATTCAAATATAAAAGAAATTGAATAAAAGATTGCAAAGAGTCCTGACACTTCTCTTTGAATGTGTTTCAGGGAACCAGTACCTGTGGCAGTTCTACTGTAGTTCACTCTCTTAATGTGTCAGTCAGATAGCAAAGACAGAGGCCTAAACCTATGAACAATGACATGTTTTTTGAAATTGAATTTCCCTTCTGGGATGAATAAAGTATTTTTCATTCATTCATTCATTTCATGTCTCTTTGTGTTCTATTGTGCTGCTCATTTGTTTATTCATGTGACATGTGCTGTATCTGTGGTTAAATTATAGGAGATATTAAAAACTATGGTATAGTGTAGTGACAATTTTGTTACAGACCAAGCCTTTCCCTTTAAGGAAAGGGGCTTTTGGGGGTAATCTTTGTATGATGTTGGTTGTGGAAAGTGAACAACTCAAGTGTGTTAGAAGTAAGATTACCAGCATGTAGCTGCGGAGTGTATTCTGACAGGGGTGATTAACTTACTGTATTCAGCCATAAAGTTACTAGTATCTATATACGCAGAGGCCTAAGTTTCAGTGTTATGTACTGTCTTTGCTGCTTGAAAAGAAATCATACAAAGGCCCAGGTATCGCAGTGGTGCAATGGTGTCTTTCAGTGTCTCCTCCTCACCACGGCAGAGTTGGTCTGGACAATGGCAATACTTTAAATTAACTTTAAGCTGTTTTAATTGTTTATGTTTTTTTATTTACACCATTTTAAAAAGGGAAATTAAAAAAAAAAATGACAAAAGAGTTTGAGTTAAACAACTGATGTTGGTTATGCAAATTGTCATAGCAAACAGCAGACTTCTGATTCAGCCTGTACAGCCTGCTATTCCAGTGAACCACCTCCTTAACAGCTCCAGCTCAACAGCATATGTTTCTTGTTAAGATACCGGATTCTTGTGCTCCCTACATTGCAGTTTAGCTCAGTGCATATTCTCAGTGCTTTCCACCACAACATTGATTCACTCCATAAAGCTCTGCATCTTAATAGACAATAGCTCCCTGAGGTGACCACACAAAAGGGAAACCTGGTTAAATATATTGACTTTACACACTGGACACTGTAATTGCTCTCAGGGGAGAAACGGAAACAAAGGTAGAATCCAAATACGTCCCTGCAAGGATTCCTAATCAATACATCAATCACTGCATTTAATTCATAGGGGCCTCTATAGGGATTACGTCAATATTGATCTCAATTATTATTTGTTTCATCTTCCGATAGGAGAGGCTCAGGGTCTCTAAACTATTACTGACCTTGCAATCTATCAATAAACTTCATCCATAAAATATTCGTTATTGGTTAGGCTTTTTGAAACAGTTGGATATTTAACAATGGCAAATTCCAATACACAGCTTGGAAGAAGATTGCATATTTTGATTTTGGGCAGAGACGAGCACCATTTCTGTTATGGTTGCACTGACAAGTAAGTGAGTCAAATTGCTGATATATATATATTTAATACATATATTTAGAAAAGTTCAACGCACCTGCAGGTAGTGGCATGTCCGCGAAGGTTTGTGATCCATGTGCATCATGGGTTTCTCTAAATTAAGCGATGACTTCCGATAAGCCTCCTTTGCCTGGCTGACTGTTAGTGTCGACCAGGAGCTCCTCTTCATGAATTTGCCCTCAGGTGCCATGGCCATGCTCTCACAGGCTGAACACTTGACATCATTGTTACTCTTAGAGGTCTTGAGTGACAGGTCTCCAAAGTGGTGGCTGTGCATGGAATCTGGGTAGCAGTGGCTGACATGTTCCCCATGGTGCCGTGACATGACACTGGGTGTGCGGTAGGTGCTGTCACTATCAAGGTTGTCGTCTGAGCTCCACCAGCCACCAGAGCGGTGCTTGCGTTCTTTGCTCTTGCTCCTCTTGCTACCGTGTTTGGTGGAGTGGTGACCATGATGATAATAACCCCCTCCTCCTCCACCTCCTACAATATCACCTTTTGTGCCATTCATCTTGGATGATCCCTCCAGGGAGTGGGACTTTGTGAAAAGCTTCTGAACAGAATGAACAAGGTGTCTGATACGGCCAGGACTCTCACTGCGTTGCTCAGTAGTGGTGGACGTGCGCTGGTACTGTAGCGTGTGGAAGCCATCGCGGTGTAGTGGCAGCTGTTTCTCAAACTGGTCCAGTAGGTTAGCAGGAAGGCGGTTGCTCTTGGTGCCGGCGTGGTGGGAGGATGCAGCTGCTGCAGCTGCAGCAGCAGCAACAGCTGGGGAGGTGGCAGAAGCTGTGATGGCAGCGCAGTCGTCCCGTGTGGCTGAGTCATAATACTGGGAGCTATAGTGCATTCTTGGGAAGGTGCTGCTGGAGATGTGGTCCGATGCAGCAGCTGGAGGCATCATGACAGGGGACATCATCATGCAGTCAGAGTGGATGGAGCTGCGGGGTGAGTAGCGGTGGTGGAAGTCCATGGGGCAGCTCTCTGTGGGGCTGAGCAGGTAGGACGAGTGGCGGGATTCTGAGCCATGGTGAGTGTGGAGGTCATGGACGTGGGGGTCATAGTCCAAGCCATGGGGTAAAGGAATCTGGTGTTGGGAACGGCTGCCCGATAAGCCCTTCATGTTCCTGGCTGGAGGGAGGCGTCTGCCTTCATTGAACTTTCGAGAGCGGGACCAAGATGAATACTTCTGGTCTGTTTCAGAGAAGGGAAAAAGAGAAATACATTAGATATGGTGAAAGGGAGAAAGAAATGCTGTGAACAACCTTGAAGAGTTACTCTTTCCAGTTCAAATCCCAGTAAGCTGAAATTGCTGTTGCGGGTCTCCTTATGAGTAGCAAAATGACAGATAATTCCTCTCAGGGGATACTCTTTGCATTCATCTGACATTCTTTAATACAATAAGTCTAACTTTCTCAGGTACACAGACATTTTATGTTCATGTACATGTATGTAAAGATTTCCTCTTCCCAGATTATGCTGTTTCAAACACAATATGACAAGAGACATGTAATATGAATGAACACTCTTGCAAAGGACTGACCATGGTGACGCTGTTAACAGTATTCATGAAAGTATAATGGTTTCGAACTAGGAATAAACACAGCGGTATGAAGTTAAACTATGTTGATAACCTCCCAAATGATGTCAGAAATAAGGGCTACCCTGTCCTCAATCACACTTTGTGTCAGCTCCCATCTCACCTGAAACAACAAGTGACAAACAAAGCAGCTTGGAGGTATTGTAACTCAGTGAAAGGGAATTTACTTCAGATGTATAATTTCTCATAGATTGCTGATTATCTCCTTCAAGCTGTCATCACTTCAGTAATATATTAGAATACTTTTTTGCACAAAACTTATTTTATTATTTTCCATCAGGGTCAATGTCTGTAGAAGAGTTTCATTGTTTTCTGGGCCAATAAAGAGAAAACTAGAAGAAAAAATACTGACAGAGAACAAAAATAAAAAATAAAAAACTGTAGATAATTGTTTGCTTTGCCCAAAGCATGAACAACAAATAGTAATAATCTGAGCATATTGGTTGATTATCATAGTGTAAATTATTTAAATAATAAAAACGTGAAAAAATGAAAATGATCAAAGAATAATGAAATAGATGATGATGGCACATCAGTACACTTTAGCTATTTCAAGTAATACTTGAGGACTGACATACTGCTCCAAAAAACCGCAACACTGATGATGGAGACTGGATGAATTTTGCTTAACATTCTTTTTCAGTCAAATATTGCCAATGCCAGACTTCAGAAATAAGATGCCATCAAAATGCTTTTACCTAATGACTTACATGATCAACTCAGGACTTTCCTGGCAGCAAAACAAAAAGAAAACTAAAGAATATCTGAGTCTTACTTGTAGCTCACAAACTCTGTGCCAAATTGCCTGTATTAGATCAGCCATGATTATTAGGTTACTCTTTAAAAGTAAAGGCCCAGTTTGCTTCATTTCATCTAATATAATACTTGTTTGTAGAAGAAGAAAAAAAGATCAGTGTCCTAAACCCATCTCATAGCAATCTTGTAAGTAGTAGAGCTGATTTTCTCAACAAATTGAACTTACTTCTCCAGAATCTATGGTAAAAGTATAATTTCTCAAGCCCTGCAGTGGAGAACCAGTTGTTATTAGCTGTATGCCTAATTATTTTGGAAGAGATGTGCAGATCTCTGGGCGGTGATCACAAAGAGTAACAAATTTTTCTTGACTTCAAAGAGACTTTTAGATGAGAAAATTTGGAAGCCTCTGTATGTGGGGTTAAAGAGTTCAGCATAATCTCCTAAATCCTTTTGCTCTGCCAGTCTCTGGAAGATGTTTCATGAATGTTGCTCAGGCCCCCATGAGTTTTTCTCTTTTATGTTCGTACTGTACAATTTTGAAATGAAATGTGCATATTAAGCTCAAAGTTTATTACAGCATGCCCAACATTAATGATACTCAACACATAGAAATTAGAGGAGAAAGTATGTTAAAATTCAAACAGTCATTAATGCACTTCCCTTCCATTCATTCCCCTCCCCACAATATTACTATTGCGCCATTTCTGACTGTGTTACCTGTAAAAAAAAAAATGGAGACCATAAACGGCAACTAGCAGCCACAACATTAAAACAGCTGAAGTGCAATGCAATGCTGCGTCACAAAACGTTGGCAAGCTAGTATTTCTGTGGATGCTACTTTGAGACCAAGATTCCCTGCCTTCCCTAATAGCAGCAGCCTTCCCCAGCAGGTCAAAGCCTGCTGCCACACTGCAAAAACTGGAGGAACACAATAAAGAGCCTGGCCTCCCAACTTCCCAGAATTCAGTCTGGTAGCATCCATGGTACGCACCGGAATACTGCAAATGCACAGTCTTCACAACCTACAGCTGATCTTAAAACTGAAAAAAGGATAAGACAAAAAATGAAATATTAAATCAAATGATATTAAATTTGTGCAAACATGTTTCGATTACGATTTGCCAAACTTGAATAACCACATACTCCAACAAGTGTATAGTTACTGACATGAATCCTAACACAATGGCACAGTTGCTAGTTTGTCTCCAATTGTCTCCCATTAACGATTATACATCATTTTTCATCCTGTTAATTACAGATTTTTCATTGACAAAGGCACACCAGATATCATGTTCCTTCTCTGTTACCGACACAAATAAACCTGGCTTTAGACTTTAGTTTTTCTATGGCCTTTTAAAATAGACACCTAAAACATACATTTTCAACAAAATGTGTCAAAATGAGCAGCATTAATAATAGTATCTGTCCCTATGCTCAGCTTCCTACATATCAATTACAGCCCACATCTTACCAGTATGTGATGTAAGCTGTAATGTAAACAAGGAGACAGTGTTGAAGTGCCTTGAGTGTATGCCATTCCCTTGTAATTAATTACTTTAAGTTCCCTGCAGCAGGAAACCCCGGCCTGGAACAGTGCACATCGTCTTACATAATGTTTGGGATCTCTGATCTCACACACCATTTCAAAGGAGCCAGAAATAAAATGCTCAGTTGTCATGGCAACCACTGCTGAAAACCGAGGAACTGTAATAGGATTTTCAAGGTTATTTGGGGTGGATCCCAGCTCCAAAACGGGGGGAAAGACACATATAGTATGTCATGTAGTATAGGCTCTTGAGTCTTGATTCAGTGACTTGATTTGCCATCCGGACTGATATGTTTGATGCACCATCACAAGTCATGTTGTAATATGTAGAGGTCAAATAAATGGGAATTTAACCGCCAGCTTCAGGACACATAATGAACCCAGACTCAACTGCATGTTTGATTATCACTCAAAATCCACCTTCTAATACCGCTTTCAGAATTTAAATATCTCTTAACCAAGGTTAACCAGACCCATGGCCTTTAAAGTGAATACAAGTTGTACAACAAATCACTACCGCTTAAAATGCACAATCAACGTCGACCGCATGTGACCAACAAATGTATTAAAACATTGCCTATTACCATTTTAATTAGATTTGTGTCCTTACCTTGCTTTAAATATTGGTTAACCTACAGTAAAAGGCAATAAAGCACCTATGATTCATTCTGAAGTGTAGTCAGTCATCGTATTTGACTGACAAGTTTTTTTTCTCTCTGTTTCAGCTGAGACACATTGTTTGTTCATCCTGAAACATTGTGTGTGTGTGACCATAGGATGCAGTATGTACATGTTGTAGACACTTTATTGCATTAAACACTCTACAGTAAATACAGAACTATCTTTCTCTGGTCCTCTCTTTATCTCATTTCCACCATCACAGCGCTCTGTTGTCTCCCTAGGACCCCACTCACTATCTCATAAATTCACCGCATTGAAGTAGATGACATCAGCTGGTTGCTGAGGCAACAAAATGTGTCAAATTAAAGCTAACAATAGAAATGAATGCACACGGAGTATGTGTGCGTGTGTGTGTGTGTGTGCAGACAATTCATGGTCTGTTATATACAGTATAATGTTATGGACTGACTACCTCATAACATGGAGTGGTTTGGTTGTCAGACATACAAATGTCTCGCTGTGACTTTAGAACACACACTATAGACGGCATTGATGAGAATAGCTAAACAAACATCAACATCCTCTCCTAACGTAGATTCACTTCAGCACCTGCTCCAAATAAAAATGAGGCATGTTCTTGCAGTAAACAAGGAGAATAATTTCAGTGTGGGCACTTTTTAAATCCCCACTATCACATTACGTGTTTAGTATTTCACACTATCTGGTTGTATCATGCTGTGTAGTATTTACAATTCATAATATAGTAAATGTTCCAACGTCACCAGCTTTAAACCCTGGTTCTCCAGTCAGAGGATAGTTGTATTATCACAATAACCTGTCTGTGACTGTAAAATATTTGGGTGGCACTACATGTTAAGGGCTTACTAGTGGCTTAAAATTGGCTATTTTGGCAACCAAGTCTTCTGTTTCATATGTATGCCACGGCCTGATCAACAGTCCAGCTGCGTATGTGTTCTTTCAATCACAAATAGTTCTATCATCTGTAATCTGAAACACCTCTAACTGTCAGTGAAGCATATCCTAGCCCAAGTAAAGAGCAGATACAGTAATGAGCTACATAATCAGAATCACAATCAGAATCAGAATCAGCTTTAATGGCCAAGTACGTACACAACATACAAGGAATTTGGTTTCGGCTGTTGGAATTTGCAGGAATAATAGAAATAGGAAAAGAAAAAAATAAAATAAAATAAAAATAAAGTAAAATAACAACAGAAAGAAAAGAATAAAATAAAATACTAACTTAATACTAACTTAATATTAATAAAAAACAAAACAAGGTAATAAGACAAATATATACAAGAATTTACACATCTGAGCACAAAAGGTGTACATTGTGCAAAACAGAAGTGCATATAAGAATTGTGGTTTGGAATGGCTCAGCTGTTCAGTAGAGTTATGGCAGTGGGATAAAAACTATTTTTGTGTCTGGTGGTTTTAGTCTGCAGGACTCTGCATCGCCTGCCTAGATGCTGTATCTGCGTTATATCTAGTTGGGTAGAACTTCATTGTCCTGGTTGGAACAGGTGGCTTGATCTGAAGTCTGATCTGGATGCCTGTCCTGCCACGTTGTCCAGCCACTATCACTGTTTATGCTATTTAATTACTCCTACCAATAGCTACAAATTAGTAACCTCTATGGCAACTCTT